CTCTTTCACAGCGCTTATCACTGTTGCAATTTTACGTTTGTGTGATTATTTGCCTAGCTTAAGCCTTCTCAAGGAGGATAGGGACTATGTCTGCCTGTATTCACCTTGGCAGCCTTCGGGCCTCTCTGGCTCAGTGCTGGGTACAGTTAGTGCTGTATAAACAGATATGAGATAAACAGACATGTGCCAGCCTCTGTGCTAGGTATCAGACGCACAATGGTAAAAAAAAGTTCCAGAAGGTGAAGGATGTTGAGGGGGAGGAGAAAGCCAGGGGCAAAGACAGAAGGAAGAGGTTGTTCCTGTACTGCTTCTCCAACTAACATGCAGCCTCTTCAAGAACAGGACATGCCTTCACAGCTGTCATCTTTTACTACTTTTGTGTCTCAGAAAAGTCAGTGACCAAGGCAGAAAAACTTGCCTCACATTTGATACTTGACATCTGTTCTTAGCTGCTGTTGAGTCAGCCCCTGCCTCATGGCAACCGCATGCACAATGGAACAAAATGTTCTGCACCATCCCCATGATTGGTTGTGGATTGGACCATTGTGATCATAGGGTTTTCAGTGGCTGATTTTCACAAGTAGATCGCCAGGCCTTCCTCCCTAGTCTGTGTTAGTCTGGAAGCTCTGCTGAAACCTGTTCAGCATCACAGCAACATGCAAGCCTCCACTGACAGACGGGTGGTGGCTGCACATGAAGTGCACTGGCCTGGAACCAATCCCGGTTCTTCAGCATGGAAGGTGAGAATTCTACCACTGAACATATAGAGCTCTTTAATATATGTTTTACATCCAGTATATAGTCAGTGTTTGTCGAAAGATGAATAGGTGTTACCTCCTCTGGCATCGAGCTTCTAGAAAACAGGGCCTGGATCTGTTTTATTTCCTGAGGTGTGGCTGGCAACTTCCACTTGCACAGGACCCCTGATAAACTTCACAGAACAGCGAAGGGCCAATTATGGCTCTGCTGTCTAACCACACTCAACAACTTTTATTTTGCTTAAATGTTTCTGCTACTTGGTAATTCGTTTATTTCTTATGGCATAGAACTACACAAACATGATATTCAGTCTGACATTAAGAGGCCAAATAAACATGACAAATATTTCAATTCTAACATACACTGTGGGGATACAACCAGTAAAATCCAGACTGTGGGAAACTCTTTAAAAAAAAAACAAAAACCCCCGCTGTCATCCAGTCGATGCTGACTCATAGTGACCCTATAGGATTGAGTAGAACTGCCCCATAGGGTTTCCAAGGCTGTAATTTTTTTTTTTTTTTTTTTTGATTAGGCAATGATTTTCTTTTTCTTTTTCATTGTGCTTTAAGTGAAAGTTTACAATTCAAGTTAGTTTCTCATACAAAAATTTATACACACATTGTTATGTGACCCTAGTTGCTCTCCCTATACTGGGACAGCACACTCCTCCTGTCCACCCCAGATTTCCTGTGTCCACTCAACCAGCTCCTTACCCTCCCTGCCTTCTCATCTCATCCAAGGCTGTAATCTTTATGGGAGCAGACTGCCACATCTTTCTCCGTGGAGTGGCTGGGTAAGCAGACAAGTGCTTAACCACTGCACCACCAGGGCACCTTGCAGAAACTGTTGAACAAACAATTCAGTTTCTTCAACAAAACAATCGAAAGAGAGAGAGGGAGAGAAGGAACCCATACATTAAAAGCAATTTAAGAGACAGATTAACTAGACACATTGTATGGAGCTTGTTTGGATCCTTATTCAGATAAAATAACTGTCAGGAAAAAACCCCCGAAAATTATAGGATAATCAGAGTAATGTGAATATAGACCAAAAATCTGATGATATTAAAGACATATATATACATATATAGTTAAATTAGTGTGGTAATGGTGTTGTGGTTATGTTTTAAAAGGGGAGACTTTATCTTTTAGAGATATGTACAGAAATAGTTATAGATTGTTAAATAATATAATGGCTGGGATTTGCTTTAAGATAATCAGGGTGGGGTGAGGAACTGGCTAGGGTTTTAGAAAAAGCTTGTGAGTTAGTAATTGTTGAAGTTGGGTGATGGGTATACATACATTCTCATAACACTGCTATTTTATGTATGTTTGAAATTTTCAAAGTTAAAAAAATCAAACAAATGGAACCATAAAGCATCTAATTACTGTCAAATAATTTTTTTAAAGTCCCTAACACCTTAGAGGGTGCCCTTGTGGCACAGTGGCTAAAAGCTTGGCTGCCAATCAAAAGGTCAGCAGTTCGAATCCACCAGCTACTCCTTGGAAACCCTATGGGGCAGTTCTACTCTCTCCTATAGGGTCACTAGGAGTTGGAATCAACTGGATGGCAATGGGTTTGGTTTTTAACACCTTAGAATTCTTTCATTTTTCAAGATGTCTAAAAGAGAGCAGTACTTTGATTCACAAGCCCTTTAAGGTATCTTTGAAAGTAGGATTAAGAACTTACAACTGCTTGCTTTTTGCCACATTCCTGCTGTAATGCATCAACCTCTCTCCTTCTGTCAGAACAGGCACTTACCTCTGATGAGCTGGGATCCATTTCAAGGATGAACTCTGAATTGACTGCTCTCAAATGTCAGAAAGAGGGTGCAAACATGGTATAGCAATGCCAGAGGTATCACAGCCTGTCTACTGCTTTGGAACCCAGAAACACAGCTGTATATCCAGGTCTTGACCACCTAACTCAGCCAGCATCAGTGCTGGGGCTACAAAGAACTGTCAAGTCAATGCTTCATGATGACCACATCACTGATTGACCTCTGTCTGTTCCCACTCAGGCCTGCATCAGTTTCCCAAACTGCCCCCAACAGACTGGGTCAACTGGATGAACTGTCAATCTTTGTCCTTTACAGCTTCACTTATTTCTTTCAAGTTTGAATTAGTCAACTTAAAATATTCAGAAATTTCCAAAGTCTACTGGACTCTATGCCAAAACCTGTTGTTGAACAGAAGTGAAGTTCTTGGAAGGGTTTAATGACATTTAATTCCACTTGCTGATACAGCCAACACTTAGAACCATTCACAGAGTCACTATGGGTAGTAAAGAAATGTCGCCTGACTCCAGCTGAAACCTCCGGGTCCAACAGACAGACCCTTCTTTGGCTATAAATTTTCTCAACTTGAGTGGGACAGGGTCAACTGCTGAAAAACTTAAGGGAAGCAGTGAGATTTCTTTTCCTACCAAAGTCTTCTCTAAGCCTTCTTTGGTCACATCAACACTTCATAAAATACAGTAGCTATTACACTGTCTTGCACAAGACAACCAGCTCTATTTCATTCACCAGCCTCAGACCCATACCTTTGTGAAATAAGCCTGTTTTGATGAAAAAGAAAAGTCTCACCCATGATACAAAGCTAATGAAAACAACGAATCTATAAGGACAGCATTTTTTCAGCACCCCCCACCACCACCATCGGGTGCGCGCGCACACACACATAAACATACAAGACGCCCCCCCTCCCGCGCGGAATTTGCCACACGGGTAACCATTCCTCTCGGCCGAGAAATACTCTGTTCAACCCGGGTTTTGTGGTTGTTGTGTTTTTTTGTTTTGTTTTAATGGGAAGGCAAGGAGAGTGGGGTGTGAAGAACTGGGGTCAGTCTTAATCCAGATTTAATTCAACAGCTCCCATTTCCTCCGGTCTTTCTCTGCATAAAAATGCAGGTATATCGGTGAAATTTCAAGAGAGTTTCTTGGGCAGTTAAATACACCAATTAAAAACGATGGAGGCTGCGGAACTGGGGGCGGAGATAAAAGGTGAAACCGAAGGGCGGAAGGGCGGGCCCGGCTGAAGAGCTCCGCCGAGCAGAATGAAGCGCACGAGCTGGTTGCAGCCGGGCAACCGGCTGCGTCCGGGGTTCTTGCCCGTCCGGGGTTCTTGCCCGCCCGCTGCCCTGGGCTTTTGCCAAGGACTTCGCTGTCAGGGCGGCCCACTCACACCTCCCGTTCGTCCCGACTTTAGGCTGGGCTCATTCACTTCCGGTGACAAATCCCTCCCACTACCTCTAGAAATAATGTTAACATTTCCCCCCATCGCTTTCCTAAAGACCGACCGCCCGACAGAGAGCCGCCAAGCCCGAGGTGGGGTCTCCCTCCAGTACGGCCAGCGGCGCCCAGCTGCGAAGGGAGTGGTCCGGAAGGGGGAAGAGGGCGTGGGAGGGAGAGGAAGGGGGTGTGAAATCGCACCCTTCCCCGCCCCCACCCCTCGGACTGCAGTAATTGGCCAAAAAAAATTGTAATCCGTTTTTAGACTTCCCCAGGGCCCCCCGAACCGGGTTGTAGTGAGGACCCCAGTCTCTACCATCGCGGTGCGCTTTGCCTTCTCCCGCCCCAGAATCTGTCTGCGGGAATCCAGGAGCCCCCAGGCCGCAGCGGATCGGGGGGCGCATAGGATGAGGGTTATGGGGCGGCAGGAATGGGTTGGAGGAAGGGGTGGTGGAAGGGAAAAGAAAAAACCAGCGGCATGCAAGCAGCTCCCTAGCCAGCTGTTCCAGCTGCCGCTTCCTCTGGCGCGGGCCGGGCGGTGCAATATTCCCCCCCCCATCTTTCTCACCACTACCTGTCCCACCACCCATCACATACACACATTTCCCCCCCAGTAGCGGATCTCCGGCCTGTAAGGGGGTAGCAAGGAGGAGCTGGGGGGAGGGGGAGGCCTGCGAGTTTCTAACCTTGTTCTTATAAACAAACCCACATGTGCAGCTGCCGCTGCTGCAACTCACCCCACAATCCCGGATATAAGTCCTGCCCCTTTAAGAGAAAAAAAAGGCTCCCCCGCCTGCCTACCACCCCACCCATCCACAAGGACCTTTGTCTCCCCACCCTCCTTGTCAGCCGGCCCCGCCCCCTGCCCCCGCCCCCTCCGACGCGGAGGAACCAATAGGCGGAGAAAATAAGGACGGGGGCCTGACGTCATCGTGGCGAACCAATCACAGGACGCGTTGGTGGGAGACCTCACGGAGGGCGCGCCCAAAAGAAGGAAGGGAGAAGAAAGGAAGCTTGAAGTCAAGATGGAGAGTGCTAATTCCTCAGTTGCTGCTGTGGGAAACGGAGACATGGGATCCCAGCGGGACATGAGCCTGGTGCCTGAGCGGCTTCAGAGACGTGAACAAGAGCGGCAACTGGAGGTGGAAAGGCGGAAGCAAAGGCAACAGAACCAGAAGGTGGAGGAGGAGAAGAGCGACTTTTTCGCCGCTGCCTTCTCCCGGGAGCGAGCGGCGGTGGAAGAGCTTTTGGAGGGCGAGCAGTCCGCCGAGCGGCTGGAGGAGGCAGCCGCCCGACTTCAGGGGCTGCAGAAACTTCTCAACGACTCAGTTTTGTTCCTGGCCGCCTACGACCTGCGGCAGGGACAGGAGGCGCTGGGGCGGCTGCAGGCAGCCCTAGCTGAGCGGCGCCAGGAGCTGCAGCCCAAGAAGCGCTTCGCTTTCAAGACCCGGAGGAAGGATCCCGCACCCGCCAGTAAAGTAGACGCGGCTCCTGGTGTCCCAGTGGCTGAAGGCATTCAGGCCTCTGCACCTCCCTTGAAGGAGGAGCGAAGCTTCGGCTCCAACTGGGTCTGTGGCTTCTCCAGTCTAGAGTCTCAAGTCTTGGAGAAGAGAGCAGAAGAGCTGCACCAGCGCGACGTCCTTTTGACTGAGCTGATCAACTGCACGATCAGATTGTACGGCAATCCCAACACCCTGCGGCTGACCAAGGCCCGCAACTGCACGGTGCTCTGCGGGCCGGTGTCCACCTCTGTATTCCTGGAGGACTGCAGTGACTGCGTGCTGGTCGTGGCCTGCCAACAGCTCCGCATCCACACTACCAAAGACACCCGCATCTTCCTGCAGGTGATCAGCAGGGCCATTGTAGAGGACTGCAACGGGATCCAGTTCGCCCCTTATACCTGGAGCTACCCGGGGATCGACAAGGACTTCGAGGACTCTGGTTTAGATAGAAGCAAAAATAACTGGAACGACGTTGACGACTTCAACTGGCTGGCGCGGGATGTGGCCTCCCCAAACTGGAGTATTCTTCCTGAAGAGGAGCGAATGATCCAGTGGGACTAAGCACTTGTCACACTCTGTTCTTCACTCCTACCAGATACTTTCCATTGTGGGACTGACTCCAGCTAATGGACTCCAAAGTTTACTTATTATCACATTTTGCATGTTTTCCGTATATGAAGGCTTGAAATTGTAGGCGCCTACTTGTGATTTCCATTAAATTCACGATAGAGGCCTAATGCTTTAAAACAATTTTGTTATTTTGGTACTGCCTAGGAGCTTTTATTTGACTATGATAGTTTGAAGCAATAAGGGGAAAAGAGTGTGTGTGTGTGTGTGTGTGTGTGTGTGTGGTTTTTTTTTTTAATTGTGTTTCAGATGAAGGTTTGCAGAGCAGATTTCGTTTCTCATGAGACAATACACATACTGTTTTGTGACATTGGTTGTCAACCCCACGACTTGTCAACACTCTTCCCTTCTCGACCTACGTTGGGTTACCCAAGGTGTGTGTTGATTTTTAATGATTTGTAATATTTAAAGCCTAGCACAGTGCATGATAAAGTAGGCCTTCAATTAATATTTAATAAAGGAATTCAGTAGGGCTCTCACACCAGCCGCACCAATTCCACTGACCCTATAGGACAGAGCACTGCCCCACAGGGTTTCCAAGGCTATAATCTTTACAGAAGCAGACTGCCACATTTTCTATGGAGCAGCTGGTGTGTTCGAACCTCCGACCTTTCGGTTAGCAGCCAAGCGCTTAACCACTGCACCACCAGGGCTCCTTAGTAGGCCTATATCAAAAAACCAAACCTGTTGCCATCGAGTCGATTCCGACTCAGCGACCTATAGGATAGGGTAGAATTGCCCGATTGGATTTCCAAGGAGCCGCTGGTGGATTTGAACTGCTGACTTTTTGGTAAGCAGCCATAATTCTTAACCACTGCACCACTGGGGCTCCAGTAGGGTTGTAGTAGCCAACTGACATGGAAGTATAGTATCAAACCTGTGCAGAGTACTGAGGATTTTTTTTAATTGAAGGTTTGACTTACATTGGTATTTCTCAGAAAGGTGCTTTAAAGACTCTTGTTTGTTTTTTAGCTACACATTAGCCTGGGCTTCTGGAATCCAGCCATTCATTGACTTGTTTGGGTCCAAAGTTTTGGCATAGGCCTGGAGAGGCTTATGTTTCTTACCAACTATAAGGCCTAAATAATTATAACTACCAATTTCTTGTGCACTTAAACACTGTTCTAAGCACCTCACTAACAACTTATTAAGTCCTCAAAATCTCATGAGGTAAATACTGTTAGCACCATTTTTCCAATGAAGAAAGAGGTAAGTAACTTAGTTGCCCAAGATCACATAGCTCAAGTGGTGTACCAGGATTTGAAACCAGGTATCCTGGCTCTAGAACTCACCTTTTTAACCACCACAACATACTGGTTTTTAATAGTGGTAGTTGAGTTGGAAAGAACACTTCCAAGATTACTATTACCATTGCTGTCGAGTTGATTCCGACTCAGCAACCCTATAGGACAGAGTAGAACTGCCCCACAGTGTTTCCAAGGCTGTAAATCTTTGCTGAGGGCGCCATGGTGGTGCAGTGGTTAAAGCACTCAGTTGCTAATGGAAAGATTGGCGGTTCAAACCCACCCGCTGCTCCTCGCGAGAAAGATGTGATCTGCTTCCATAAAGATTACAGCCTTGGAAACCCTGTGGGGCAGTTCTACTCTGTCCTATAAGGTCGCTATAGGTCAGAATCAACTCGATGTCAGTGGGTTTGGTTTTAGAATCTTTACTGAAGCCGATTGCTACATTCTCCCTCAGAGCGGCTGGTGGGTTCGAACGGCAGATCTTTCGGTTAACAGCCAACTGCTTAACCACTGTGCCACCAGGGCTCCTCCCAAGGTTACTAGGGGGGGCAAACTGCTTTTCTGAAATTTTTAAGCATTATTATGCTAGGTGTCATCTTAAAGAGAGTTGAGGCAAAAGTCTATCTGAGTCTTTTACACTCATTTTGCTATAATTATTTTACTGTTACAAATTTGCTTTCTGCTATCTACACTATTATACAGTATTCTTAAATGGAAAGTTGTAAGATATTTTCAAGATGCTTTTTTGTGTCTTGTGGCTTTATAACTACAGAATGCTTTTTATTTAATAATTACCTCAAGTATTAAGGTATTTGAAGTACCTTAAATATTTATATATTTAATACTCATGTTCTATCTTGTTCCAAGAAAGAATTTAACATGGCTTCTGGGATTTGTGAAATATAACAAAACAAAAACAAGCAAATAGGAGGAACAAGGGTAGAGTTCCATACTGGGGGCTTAAAGGAGACCTATAAATAATAGATCCTGCCGTGCTCTATTCCTTAGCCGGAGGTGAATCCAAAAAAATTTTCTTCCAAACTATTAGCTGACTTGAAAAAGGATCCTAACTAGCTTCTCAGTGTGTAACATACACAAACAAATTTTTTAAATCCACACACACAAAAAAATTCTATTGCTTAGGAGAAATAATCCTGATAATAAAAAGAGACAGTACGTAACAAAATTCTCAACCATATCTTCACATTATGAACTATGACCAGTATCTGAAGGCTGGGCCCCTAAAGACTGTTTGCAAGGTCCCTGGGTGGCACAAGTGGTTTGTGCACGTCTGGTAACCAAAAAGTTGGCACCGCGTAAGAAACAGTCCTGGCTATCTGCCTCCGTGCAGGTTACAGCCCAGGAAACCCTAGGGAGCAGTTCTAGTCTAACACATGGACTCTCCTAAATCACAAATCGACAAAACAAAATCAACAGCAAAATAAAGACTGCTAGTATAACATTAAGTGGACTTCAGGAAAAGCCATTCTTGTGGCACTAATGGGCTTGCCATTCATATTTGTGGACTGATAATTTTTACAGAAAAGTTATTAACCAATTGCATTTAAAAAAGAAAATCTCTTGGACCTTTTGCAAACCCGCCGTTGGTAGTAGATAACAGAAGTCACAAAATCCTAGCAGTTTGAACCATAATTAATGTCAGTTAACCTGAGCTGAGCTTTCATTGCCGCTCAGCAAGACTGCTGTGCCTTCCTGAATGGCTCACTCCACGTTCCTTATGCCAGCTATACCAGACCTTTTTCTTCTTTGGTAAAGCGCACAATCTCACCACCTTAACTCTACCAACTTCACCTGCTAATAAGTTATAGGCCATCCAACTAGCACCCCCTTCTTCTTGTTGTGTGGATTCTGACTCATAGTGATCCAACCCTACAGGACAGAGTAGAACTGCCCTGTAGGGTTTCCAAGGTTGTAATGTTTAGGGGAGCAGATTGCCAGGTCTTTTCTACTGAGGAGCCGCCAGTGAGTTTGAACTATAGCAGTCGAGCTCTTAACCATTGCGCCACCAGGGATCTTAACCCAAAAAAACCCAAACCTGTTGCTGTGCAGTCAATTCTAACTCATAGTGACCCTACAGGACAGAGTAGAACTGCCCTATGGGGTTTCCAAGGAGCGGCTGGTGGATTTGAACTGCCGACCTTCTGGGTTCCACCATCCAAATAGAAACATACTATATATACTCTTCTGTACCTTGCCTTTATCATTAACATACTTGGGGGTCTTTCCATATAAGTACACATAGACTCATCTCCTTTTCTTTAACTGCTGCATAGTATTCTGTTATATGGAATGCACCATGCTTATATAACCAGTCATTAATTAATGGACATGTAGGTTATTTCCAATCTTTAGCCATAAGAAGAATGCTACAATGAATATCCTTACACATAAATTATTTAGCATGTATGCCATTATATCTGTAAGCTACATAACTAGGAGTGGAATTGCTGGATCAATAGGCATGAACATTTACAATATTGATAGATATTATCAAATTGCTTGCCAAAGAGGCTTGTCAGCTTACACACTCACCAGCAATGTCTGAGAATGCTTTTTCTCTACATTCTTTCCACTCAGTGTGCTATCAAATTTTTGGCTCTTTTTTTTTTTTTGGTAATTTGATAGTTACAAAATGCTATCTTCCAGTAATAGCAATTGTAATAATCTTCTAATTGGTCTCTCCACCTCCAATTTCTAAACCATTCTGCATGTGGCTCCCAAGTTTGTTTTCTTAAAGCATTTTACTCCCAGTCTAAAACCTTCTAAGATTCCCATTGCCTGATGGACTCCCTGGCCTGGAAGACAACCCCTTCTACCATCTGTTCTCAGCCTACTGTTCTTACATGATCTTTTACTGTTTAATCACACACACTTCATGCTCCAACTAGTCTGAACTAACATCCATTAATCAAACACACCATCAGTCAGGGACCTGGCAGGAAACAGATGGCACACTCAAATGGATAATTTAAGGAGTGCTTAATAAAGGGGCTATTTACAAAGCTGTGGGCAGAATTTGGGAAAAGCAGTAAGTGATGGTGCGATACCCATTATCACTCAAAGGCCTGAAGGAACAAAACCGTTACCTGAACCCAGGGAGAGAGAGCATCCTGCTAGGCTCTATGGCCTTCAGTACAGGGGTGCAGTCCATCCATTGTGACCTGGCAGGGGAGAGCCATGGGAGTTAAAGCCCCTCAACTCCCCTCTAATCTTCCATTGGTTGAACCCAATTAGAAACTGCAGGGCAAGGAACTCTGGTGGTGCAGTCCACATGGGGTTAGCTCCCAGGACACAGAGCAGGGTGGAGAAAGGTGACAAATGGATCTGGAGGAGCAAGTGGAAGGCAGTCCACTTGTGTTCTATTTCCTGGCCTTTTCTCAAACAGATTAAGGAGATGTGGTTCTAAGAAAAGAGAGTTACTATAAAGTGATTCAAAATGGGAGGTGGGCCAGAGGTCTGGAAGCCAGAAGAAACTCAATATCATGAAGAGCTATCCCATCAGGCTAGATGGAGTAAGGTGGACACAAACAAATGATCGTGATAGTTTTTGTTGAATTATTTTCTCGAAAGAGGCAACAGTAGCCCAATGGGAAGAGCCACTGGCCAAAAGACCTACTTTCAAATTCAATCCTCCATCATTTATTAGCTGTGTAACTTGAGCAAGTTATTTAATCTAAATCCACCCCCAATTTTTACAACATATGTTTGTTTTTTATGGTAAACGATACCACATCAGTAACCACAAAAGCTTCTATTACTACCATTTAGGAACTGGTTTTAATCCACAATAAATAATAATAGTGACAGCCAATTTCACCTGAAAAACAGATAAATACCTGGTCAAGACTGGTGGCTTCAGCTGTCTTCTATGCAATGCTTTTCCCTGTGCCTGATGAAAGGAAATGTGATTGATGCACACAATGTCAAAAGAACACACACACACACACACA